ACTTGTTAAGCGAAACACTCGTTATGCAAGACAATTTTTCTCATATAAATTAATGTAAAATACGATAATGCGTTCCATGTCAAAAAAAAAAAATACTCACAAAACACTATGTATAATGTTTATTCAGAGAAAATTATATACACATTGTTAAGGAGAGTGAATCACCTTCATCTTTTCTTCAAACACGGAATGAACCCATCTGGAATGCGAATTACATTTGCAGAAAAAAAAAAAAAGTTGAAACATAGCTAATTATTTGTTTACTAGAAAGATGTCCAGAGACATTTGTTTTTGCCGACGCTTCAAAAGTTGGCGAAAATGCGACACAGCATTATCATTAAATAAATTTGCAGCGCGCATAGCCACTTTCTTATTATGATGATGTTTCTCAATGTAAGATGCAACAGTTTTCCCTGCTTTCAGCATTTCTCTTATTTCGCCAGAAAATTGTAGCTTTTCTGTTACCTCCTCCTCTGACAAACTTTCCTCCAAAACTTCTTGTTGAGAAACACAATGCAACTCCATAAGCTCTTGGGTGGTCAGCTCTTGGCTGTGCTCTTCCACAAGCTCTTCTATATCACTGTTATCCACCTACAATCCCATGATAGTGGCCAAAGACACAATCTCGTTGACTACAGGTTCCACAGGTACTGTCTTGAACCCCTCAAAGTCACAAATCGACAACGCTTTCCGGCCAAAGCTTCTTCCAAGCAGAATTTAGGGCTCTCTTGGTAACCCTTTCCCCCGCCTTGTCGATCATCTTGAGGCAGGCAACGATGTGGAAGTGATTTTTCCAAAACTCTTTGAGAGTGAGGCTGGTCCCATCAGTCACCTGAAAACAATGCTCTAAGAGTGCTTCACTGTAGAGCCTCTTAAAGTTTGAAATAACTTGCTGGTCCATGGGCTTGAGTAGCGGAGTGGTATTGGGAGGCAGAAACTGGATCTTGATGAACTTAAATTTTTCAGGCAGGTTATCATGTACGCCTGGAGAATTCATGTACATATATCACAAAATAACACAAGTTTGAGAAAATGTGTGATCACAAGCGACACAACGATGCTACTGGAACGAGTGCTACACACAGAATGATGTAACATGTGCACAATCCGTGACTTCCCCTCTCCTCGCCACTCGTTATGCGAAACGTCGCTCGTTAAGCAAGTCATTCTTTTACAATTTGTTTTGCTCGTTTTGCGAATTACTCGTTATGAGAGGTGCTCGTTAAGCGAGGTTCTACTGTACAATGTTACACTTTATTTGGCATTTTTGGCATTTTATGGGTAATGGTTTGGCATAAAATGAAGTTTTTTATCTGGCAACCCTGATTCGGCGCCATAAGAAGAAGAGCAAAGTCAGGGGCCACCAGGAGCAGATTCATTCAGCCACTATGGTGAACTCCAGATAGCGTGAACAGAAAAAAATGGCGGCGGTTAAAGAATGACAGTGAGTAAGAAAGTTGCCTCTTTTCCCCCAAAAGGAGAAGACAGCAGAAGAAGAAGAAAGAGCGCTAAGATTGCCGACTTTAAGTTTTGTGCCGCAAATGCTGAAAAAAAGTGAACAGGGGGCAGTTGATGAACGAGACTCAGGGAGATAGAACGATAGGTAAGTTCTCTACACGGCACAAGTAGATGAGCCAAAAGGAGAGGCACACTTCCGTTAGAACGACTGACTGTGAAAATAGTCAGGTCCTGACAACTGACAGTGAGAAGGTGGAGGCTTTTCTGAAGAGATTTTACAGCACACAGATCAGAATGACCGAACCATCAGACGTGTTGATGATGGTGATTTTGCTAGAGCAATCAGAGACAAGACGTGTGGGAACATCGTACAAGTAAATTTTAGAAATCATATGCTGAAGAAAACCAAAGATAGTACATATTTACCTCATAATACTCCTGACCCCTTTCTTCTTTTCCCCCCAAAGGTCATACCAGACTGACTGGTTTTAGAATTATTACGTTACAGAATATATTTGGTAAAAATCTAGAAAACAGTGGCAGGCAAATTACTGAGAAGGTTAGGAAGTTACAGACCAAGAAAGGAAAAGTGGGGACACACCGCGCTCCTGGTCTATAAGGGGTTTCAACATAAACATCAAACAGTGGTGGTGACACTGGGTTAAGAAGATGCATATAACCATATAATTCTTCTTCTTTTTCTTCATGTTCACCAACTGTCGTTTTACACATCTGGGTCATTTGTATGCAGACTGTTGGTTCCTTTTCTCTTCAAAGGATGCATTCCAAACTTAAAGGACAGCCCTAACTAGTGCAATCTGACGGCATGCTAGTTAGGGAGGCAGTGGGTCTATCCTTTTCTCTCCAACAGTGGGGCCCTGGAACCCGCAATTTGAAATGAAGTATTGACTAAACGGTTTTTTTTTTAAATTAACTAATCAATCAGATTAAGGGGGAACAATCACCCAGACATAAAAGGCAGTATTTTAACAAAGACTTCTTGTACGCTGGTAACAAAGACATCTTTTACGCTAAAGACATCTTGTACGCTGGTAACAAAGACATCTTGTACGCTGGTAACAAAGACATCTTGTACGCTGGTAACAAAGACATCTTGTACGCTGGCAACAAAGACATCTTGTACGCTGGTAACAAAGACATTTTATACGCTGGTAACAAAGACATCTTATACGATAAAGACATCTTGTACGCTGGCAACAAAGACATCTTGTACGCTGGTAACAAAGACATTTTATACGCTGGTAACAAAGACATCTTGTATTCTGGTAACAAAGACATTTTATACGCTGGCAACAAAGACATCTTGTATTCTGGTAACAAAGACATTTTATACGCTGGCAACAAAGACATCTTGTACGCTGGTAACAAAGACATCTTGTACGCTGGTAACAAAGACATCTTGTACGCTGGTAACAAAGACATCTTGTACGCTGGTAACAAAGACATCTTGTACGCTGGTAACAAAGACATCTTGTATTCTGGTAACAAAGACATCTTGTACGCTGGCAACAAAGACATTTTATACACTGGTAACAAAGACATTTTATACGCTGGTAACAAAGACATCTTGTACGCTGGCAACAAAGACATCTTATACGCTAAAGACTTCTTGTACGCTGGTAACAAAGACATCTTTTACGCTAAAGACATCTTGTACGCTGGTAACAAAGACATCTTGTACGCTGGTAACAAAGACATCTTGTACGCTGGTAACAAAGACATCTTGTACGCTGGCAACAAAAACATCTTGTAGGCTGGTAACAAAGACATTTTATACGCTGGTAACAAAGACATCTTATACGCTGGTAACAAAGACATCTTGTACGCTGGTAACAAAGACATTTTATACGCTGGTAACAAAGACATCTTGTAGGCTGGTAACAAAGACATTTTATACGCTGGTAACAAAGACATCTTATACGCTGGTAACAAAGACATCTTGTACGCTGGTAACAAAGACATCTTGTACGCTGGCAACAAAGACATCTTGTACGCTGGTAACAAAGACATTTTATACGCTGGTAACAAAGACATCTTATACGCTAAAGACATCTTGTACGCTGGCAACAAAGACATCTTGTACGCTGGTAACAAAGACATTTTATACGCTGGTAACAAAGACATCTTGTATTCTGGTAACAAAGACATTTTATACGCTGGCAACAAAGACATCTTGTATTCTGGTAACAAAGACATTTTATACGCTGGCAACAAAGACATCTTGTACGCTGGTAACAAAGACATCTTGTACGCTGGTAACAAAGACATCTTGTACGCTGGTAACAAAGACATCTTGTACGCTGGTAACAAAGACATCTTGTACGCTGGTAACAAAGACATCTTGTATTCTGGTAACAAAGACATCTTGTACGCTGGCAACAAAGACATTTTATACACTGGTAACAAAGACATTTTATACGCTGGTAACAAAGACATCTTGTACGCTGGCAACAAAGACATCTTATACGCTAAAGACATCTTGTACGCTGGTAACAAAGACATCTTATACGCTAAAGACATCTTGTACGCTGGCAACAAAGACATTTTATACACTGGTAACAAAGACATTTTATACGCTGGTAACAAAGACATCTTGTACGCTGGCAACAAAGACATCTTATACGCTAAAGACATCTTGTACGCTGGTAACAAAGACATTTTATACGCTGGTAACAAAGACATTTTATACGCTGGTAACAAAGACATTTTATACGCTGGTAACAAAGACATCTTGTGCGCTGGTAACAAAGACATCTTGTATTCTGGTAACAAAGACATCTTGTACTCTGGTAACAAAGACATCTTGTATTCTGGTAACAAAGACATCTTGTATTCTGGTAACAAAGACATCTTGTATTCTGGTAACAAAGACATTTTATACGCTGGTAACAAAGACATCTTGTATTCTGGTAACAAAGACATCTTGTATTCTGGTAACAAAGACATCTTGTATTCTGGTAACAAAGACATCTTGTATTCTGGTAACAAAGACATCTTGTATTCTGGTAACAAAGACATCTTGTATTCTGGTAACAAAGACATCTTGTATTCTGGTAACAAAGACATCTTGTATTCTGGTAACAAAGACAATTATACGCTGGTAATACAGACATCTTGTACGCTCATAACAAAGACATCTTGTACACTCATAACAAAGACATCTTGTACACTCATAACAAAGACATCTTGTACACTCATAACAAAGACATCTTGTACACTCATAACAAAGACATCTTTTTTGCTGGTAACAAAGACATCTTGTACGCTGGTAACAAAGACATCTTGTACGCTGGTAACAAAGACATCTTGTACGCTGGTAACAAAGACATCTTGTACGCTGGTAACAAAGACATCTTGTTCGCTGGCAACAAAAACATCTTGTACGCTGGTAACAAAAACATCTTGTACGCTGGCAACAAAAACATCTTGTACGCTGGTAAAAAAGACATCTTGTACGCTGGTAACAAAGACATCTTGTACGCTGGTAAAAACACTAAATAAAGGAATTTATGTGAGCTTACCTCATAAGACCATGTACACTGGATTCCTGCAAACTTTCGAACACATCGTCCAATTTCAACATCTTCGTGTGAGGTGTACAGATTACGAAGGCAGTAACTGATGTGAGGCGCCATTCGGCGCAGGGTCTCGCGGCTGAATATCATGCCAGGACCACCCATACAAAAGTTTTCTTCTGCAGAAAGAGCCAGCTTGCCCAGCTCGTCTGCTTTGCCAGTACCTGCCTGGCCAATGAACAATGGCTGTGAGCTGTTGATACCACGAAGAAACTGATCCAACTTGTCTCCCTTGATGAAGACATCATCGTCTGCCCTGAGGAACCACTCGTATTTATCCAAGAAATGGTCGTGCATGTATTTGAGCATCATGAAGGACTTCTTCTGTGGAGGATAGTGATCATCTACACCTGGAAGAGCAACTACTGGCACCCCATAACCTGACGTAGAACCTTCGCTAGAGAAAAACACCACTTTCCCATTGATAGTACTCGCCCAAGTCCTATGTGATGCCAAACCACGGTTATCGATAAACTTTTTGGCCGTCATAATACCTACAAATATGAAATTATCTCTTCCATCTGTGTTTCCGTATTCATTGTCATCAATGACATTTGCAGCTTGTGTAACCTGACGAAGACGCTCCTCTTTGCAACACAAGCCGTGAACATTGCAGGGAGACATAATGTTGGCCTTACACCAGTTAACAATGATCATGCCACAAATGAAACCAAAGACAGCTATCAAAACTGAAGGAAAACATGCTTCAGCTCCCACTGCACGGCTCCTTTTCAAGGCAAGACTCTGCCTGGAGGCTCCATTCACCTGAGCTTTATTCTGCATTGTACCTGGTGACAAACCTGACATGCCATGGGTTTAAAGACAACTAATTGTGTGTAGTCTGAAGTGTATACAGGTGACAGGACTAACCACATTGCATTCAGTGTCAACAATTATGGCTAAGTCTCTCTCTCTGCAGAGCAGCTGGCCATCTGCCAGGAGTGTAACAAAAAACATGAAATCTCCAGCCCAGCAACGATTTCAAGGAACCTCTTTATAACAACTGCACTTGTAAACGGAAAGACAGTCCCAAATGAATCCACAAGTTCACAGTGTCAGATAAATGATTTGACACTTTATCAATAAGAGCTCAGTAGTCATATAAAGGAACAACAGCAGATTTCTTGTATTCATTAATAGAACTGTTGTTGTTTGTCACAACTGGCAGATACAGGTAATGAATCCTAGTGAAGCCTAACCAAACCTAACCATCTCGAGGACAACCAATGATCCACAGCCTGGAGGGTCCAAAGCATTGAGCTCTGACGTTCTGACCATCATTCTCCCATTGGTTGCTGGAAATGATTCTTTGCCTGAGGATATCAGTCACTGGGCATCTAGGGCAGCAACTCTCAGCTGTCTCCTGCAGGCATGATCTGTGCAGGTCATGTGTGGAATAGTGTCAAGTAAACGCTCAATGTGTAGACAGTACATCCCTACTTGCTGCTTTGTTACACATGTGAACTCCAAATTCAAACTGATGCCAGCTGTAATTATCAGCTCAGCATCATTTCCTATGGCACTCACAGATATCGGCTGTACAGCTGTCGTAATCTCCACTGGTCCCAGGGCTCAGCATAGGTCTGGCCCTGCCACACACAGTCCACTGTGTCAAGTTGTCAGTCCCAAATTGTCTCTGTCTTGACAACAGATGCTGCAAATAAAGTGTACAATCAATTTACAAATGTACAATTCTTGTACAGTGTTTAACAAATAACTGCCAGCGTAAAAATGCTCTGCCATCTTGAAAACAGTTTCATGGCTACATTGTGTTTATCTGTGGTCGTGAAAAGAGTTTATTTCAATCAAGTTAAATCAAAGACCAAAAATGTGCTCTATTTTTCCTGTTGCCTGTAAATCCTGGACAAAACATGGCCAGGTTTCTAGCAGAGAAAAAAGGGCGGATTCTGAGGCTGGATAAAATGTCAATGAAATAAATTGAAACAGAAAGACAAAATACATTTAATGTGCAAACTGAAGGAGCATGAACCAGACTCTAATAATAAAATGTGTATCTGATTTCGCTGACAGATAGAGGCACAACAAAAATCAAAACAAATGACTAACATCCAGGTGTTGAAAGTGCAACTGTAAATCAACTGAGTGGGTATACATGTCATGGTAAGTGAATTCATGTGCTGGTACAGTGAACATGAAACACATGGTTGATTACATGAAAAGAACAAATATATCACTGATGACATAAAAACACCAAATTACATGATTGATGAGATGAAAACAAATCTCAGATGACTTGCTGCCTAGAGCGAGAAGCACGAAAAAGATCCTATCATGTCTAAAGATAACTCCTAAACTAACCACACCAAGTTCAGATTTTAAAATTCTGTTAATCAGGAAGGGGGTGGGGGGTTCTGTGTTGTCAGCAATCAGATTCTGTAGATTCATTTGCGAAAGGATATACTTGATAGCTAATGTCCATAATTAAAAACTATAGTGCCACTTATATATTTTCAGCAGTGAAGTGATTAAAAACAGACAGGTCTTAGCTGACAGGAATCAAGAAAGGGTCTCACTCCATAATATGATCATAAATATGTAGTGTAATATTTCATCCCACACATATATTGTTCAAAAGGCTAAAGTTGAGAGGAACGACCTCATTGCTCAAGGTTTTATCTCCTATTGCTCAGTCCTCTCTGTAAAACAGCTAGCCACCTGCCAACAGCCTCGCACCGAGAACAAACTCCGTAGCATAGATCAAGTAGAGGACTTCCTGACACAAAGACCTGGTAAAACTTCTTCACCATACAAGGACACAGTAGAAAATACCAGCATACACTAACTGAAAATAGAATCTCATTTCACACACACCTAACTCTACCCTGACCCACAAGAGGACCTTATGATACAGACACTCTGACCCCTAATATAACCACACACTACAGGACCTAACCATATACTGGCTATAGGGGCTTATGATACAGACCCTCTGACCCCTAATATAACCAGACACACTACAGGACCTAACCATATACTGGCTATAGGAGCTTATGATACAGACCCTCTGACCCCTAATATAACCAGACACACTACAGGACCTAACCATATACTGGCTATAGGAGCTTATGATACAGATACTCTGACCCCTAATATAACCAGACACACTACAGGACCTAACCATATACTGGCTTTAGGAGCTTATGATACAGATACTCTGACCCCTAATATAACCAGACACACTACAGGACCTAACCATATACTGGCTATAGGAGCTTATGATACAGATACTCTGACCCCTAATATAACCAGACACACTACAGGACCTAACCATATACTGGCTATAGGAGCTTATGATACAGATACTCTGACCCCTAATATAACCAGACACACTACAGGACCTAACCATATACTGGCTATAGGAGCTTATGATACAGATACTCTGACCCCTAATATAACCAGACACACTACAGGACCTAACCATATACTGGCTTTAGGAGCTTATGATATACAGACTAAGACTTTCTGGTTCCGACATTGATAGGGAATGGATGATGGTTGAGAACCTTGCCTATGTTGACCGTTCTTGTCATCGTTTGTCTTCCAGTTTCAATATTGTAAGATTGTGAAAGCCCAGTTTGCAGCCGGAGCTACTGAGTTTAGTGCTCCTGGCGGCACTATGAGCTGTGATTATCGGTTATTGACTGAGTTCCAGATTTTTACATAATGGAAACGATAGGTGATGCATTTTTCTTTGTTATGTTCCTGGGACAAGGCTATAGCTGCTGTTTATTTGCTGGCCATGGCTGCAGTTGGCTGAGGACATGTGGAGAATGGTCAGGAATAGTTTTAATCTACTCATCGCCCAGCTATTCGTCAAATGAAGCTGCTTTTCACCGATGATGCCTGATCTCGCAGTGTGTTTAAAGATCAAACAGTGTGTGTTTTGCTGACTGAGGACACTTTGAATGGCTACGGCATTCACTTGAAGTATCCAGTGTATCAGACTCATTTTGTGACAAGAATCACTGGCGTAGGCTGATTTGCTGTGATGCCAGAACTAAAACGACTAACTAACTACTAAACTAAGACCTTCACATAACCAGACACACTACATGACCCAACCATATACTGGCTACAGGGGTTTATGATACACAGACTCTAAGACTTTCACCTAACCAGACACACTACACGACCTAACCATATACCGGCTAAAGGAGTTTATGATACACAGACTCTAAGACCTTCACATAACCAGATACCCTACATGACCTAACCATTTCCTGGCTACAAGAGTTTATGATAAGCATACTCTGAGACCTTCACATAACTAGACACACTACAGGACCTCACCATATACTGGCTATAGGAGTTTATGGTTAAACAAAGTCAGGCCTCATCTCTTTGATTTTTTTGTTCTGTAAAATTGTTTTCAATGGCTGAAAAGTGGAAACATGTAGTACTATGTTATTGTCTGACCTAAAGAATGGATGGAATCAACTCCTGCCTGAACCTGTTGATGAAACTAAAAGAACTGAGCTGTTAGTGTTCATAACATTATGCAACTGTGCAGCAGTGTAGGACTAAACAGTGTAAATATGATGCCAGAAGAAGTAACAGATTAGTTGGCATGGGACAAAGTGATGAAATTACTTCCAGTGTGACTACCATTGAAGAGGAAGAAATTAAAGATGACAAAGGATCAGTTCTTAACAAAAACTTACAACTGGCTACTCAGAAGCAGAAACAATATGAAATGCAAGAGGAGGCATAGGCAACACAGATGCTACTTCTGTGTAAGATAGTGAACATTGCCGTGATTAAATTGCCCTATTAAATACATTATTTTTGTATTATTAACTTTTAAAAGATTTTATTTTAATCCCCCCCCCCCCCCCCCACACCCAGCAAGTAGGGAATCACATGACTGTAAATGTGTATCAAGAGATTTTTGTTATCCATCTATGTGACTGTTCATCACAGCACTACTGCAGATGGTGAGGGTTAATCAAAGTTTTTCTTATATTATCTAGTAACTTTGAATACTATACTCTTTAAATATAATCAGTAATGATTATGTAATCATTAGTACATTCAGAATGACAAAAGCTATTCCTACTGAAGAACAACATGGGTGGACAGAATGTGAAAACTCACCTGGATTAAAAGAATCACCGATGTGTGTAACTGTCAGTGGATCATCAGTAGGTATTGGACAAAAAAGAAAAAGAAGCAACATGTTAACAACATGTTGAGACTGTCATTCACACGGGGGCATATCAGATGTGGAGACCAATAAAGGCATGAAAGACAAAATTGGTGATGGAGATAAGTAATCTGTGAAAGTTATGGAAGGAAACAACACAAGACAGCCAGGATAAATTTTTTCAAAGTGAAAAGCATTTACTATTAACGTAGTGTTCGTCAAGCTCCCAAAGTATATATTTGTTATTTACTAAAGAAGGGGGTGGGTTACAAGTAGCAGTGGCCGAAGAAGAGGAAGCAAAAGGAGAAGAAGAAAACGGAGAAGAAGAAGGATGAGGAAAAGTTAAATAAAGGAAGTAGAGGCAAAGAAAGCTATTAAAACAACAAAACACAACTGTCAGCTATCTAACTGTACCGTACCTTCCTTCTAGTGCTGCCCTAACTTCAAGTCAAGTATTATAATTTATAACCGTCTTGTCTTATTATTCCGATGTGAACTCGTAAAATATATTACTTTCCCGTTCACTTTTCACACGGAACACATTCCAAAGTCAGAAGGTATTTCAATTTTGCAGCGATTAACAAGAGGCGTGAATCTGTGGCGTAGATCATATCTAACCGTACTAGTACCGGCGATCAAGCGAACTGAAGCGGGGAGCGGAGACATGCCGGCCGTCGACATCTGTAGTGGAGGCCCGGGCCCGACTCTAGCAGACGACCATCATGCGAGGGACCAGTCGCCTAGCAGTGCCAATACTTGCCGGCTAGCACCCGGCCTCTGCTGCCAAACCTGGACCAGATTAGCTGCTTTAGCCGACAAAATCTGCCCAGCTGTCGCAGCGCTGCCTGTCTCCGGTGGACTGAAAATTGATAGGACATCATCATGACGTGCCTTGCCGACTGGCGTTGCCGATCATTCATCTCCACAGTCCGTGATATCAGCAACTATGTATCAGTTCATATGTTGACACCCCTTCATAAAACGACAAAAGACTGTCAAAAATCTACTCGCCCTGTCTTCCTCCGTCTGTCTTTTCACAGATCTTTTCAGTGGTAACAACAAGTACCAGTTTCCCGCTTCTCATAACGTGGACCAAAAAATGATGACTGTCCCTTGTTGATGTTTGTGATCAGTTGTCTTCGAGCACTCGCCTCTTTAAAAACACCCAGGTTGCTCGTCTTAGCTTTCCAAGAATTCTAACGATTCTTCTGTAAAATCACATTTCCGAGGCCTCAAAATGTTGTCCGGCTTGTTTATTAACTGTCCAGGATTCGCCTTATAGGGACACTCTCAAAACTGCTTGTAAATGTGTGGGCATTCAGACAGAAACATTAAAATTAATGTATCACAATAACTGAAATTCGGATAAAGAAAAAAATTAAAAACAAAATTCCAATAAAAACAGTTGATTGAACATCTATGATAATACTGTCGGAAATGAAGATGGAGCGCACAGCATGATTTAAAAAAAAAACTTTGGAAGATTGGATTATGTAATCTAAACAATATTACACAACCAGCTTGGCGTTGATACGTGCTTGTCGCAGGGCAACACAAGAGTTGTGGTTACGCTCATCCTCAGTAGGTAAACGCGCCTTCTCGGGTTTGAACCTGATCTCTAGTGGCAGCACTGTAGGTCCAGTCAGCTGTTTGGCAACCTTCAATTCTTCAGCTGAAGCCTCTACCTGCCTGGTTTGCCCTCCTTGGGTGGGAAGATAATCAGCTTGGTCTTGTACTCCTTCGTTCGCTGTAGGTTCTGCTGGAGGGACTCAATAGACATGCTTCGTCTGTGGTAATCCACAGAGATGCCAATGGTGCGTGCAACTTTTTTGTTGACACCTGCAGCTTCCAACTCATCCAGGGTGAATCCACGTCCAAACCTGATCTTGGTGTCGTACTTAAAGGTAGGACATCTGACAATAGGCCTCAGGAGACCGGTAACTGGTTGTGCTGCGATCGCTGCAGCTTTCTTGGCACATGCTGCGTGGTTCCGTTTCTTTCTCAGGGGCTGGTTGAACCATGTTTTGACCATGCGCTGCCAATCCTTGTGGAAATGGCCATTTGGTATAATGTTGTTTCTTTTAGAAGCCATGGCTCTTCTGAACTCGTAAACCGGGGGAAGTAGCCTTGAGTGGGTACCAAATAAATTCAAGGGAAGTAGATGTGGCTGGCGGAATGCTGACCATATCACCAACTGAGTGCTAATTTGTCTATAATATATAGGTCTAGCCCTATATGCCCAATACACATGAATACGTTTAAAAGGGCACTTTACTTTAGGC